GGGGGGGGGGGTGGGGGAAAGCGCAAACCATCACGCACATCACAGCGCGCGAAATGGGATTCGCCCAATGTACAATGGATGGGTCATTGATCGATGGCATTTGATAGGTCTGGGGCTTAGCGCCCGGTCGTCGGACTTAGCCAAAGGATTAGCGACACTCGGCAAATTACTATAGCTCGTTTCTCCGTGCGAGTCTTGACGGACGCAGCCGGACTATTCATCCCATTTCGGGCTGGACAGGGATCATCACGGAAAATGTACTCCGGTCTATCCAGGTACTTTTGTTAGTAGAGTGGAGCTTACAAGGGTCACAACCTTGTCAGGTGGTATGTACATAAATCTACCGCCTTCTAAAAAATGGTTTATTAAAGAGCTCACTGGTTAATGTGCAGTAATTTCTGGCAGAACCTAGCTTTTCTCATCCATGCCTAGCTGCTAGATAAATTACATACTAACAAAATCCACCTGGATAGACCTGAGTACGTGACTGTTACATCCCCGGTGAGCCTGCTTAAATCCGCTTTACGCGGAGGCTGCTCCGAATAGCCCTGGTCATCTTCATTTGCTTCTTCCAACGCGTCTCCCGCTCGGCGCAACGTCAGATCTCTTAGCGCCGAAAGACACCAAGCTCTTGACCATACCGTTATGCTGTTCGGTCTTACGGATGCCCAGCTAGCTTCAAACGAATGGATCAAAATCTCTCGATTGCTTTGGCATTTTTTGCGATCAGTGTGTTAGGCTCGCTTTCGACATCGTCAAATCAACACCACTTTCAACATGTTGGACAGGTTCGTGAACGACGTCAACCACGCCGAAGCCCCCATGTGGCTGAGGGTTCTGCTGGATAAGAGCCTTTTGCTTATCTTCATAAGTTGCGTTGGCGTGTATGCGATCACTAGGGTTTTGGTGACCTTCTATCGCCTCTATCTGCATCCGTTGGCAGCTTTCAAGGGGCCAAGAGCGGCAGCGATTTCCAGAAATTGGGTATACAAAGTTCTCACGGGTCCAAGCCTACCAGAGACAGTCTTTGAGAACTTGCATACCGAATACGGTCAGTCCAGATTGTTCACGATATCCCCCAGGTTAAGGGAAAATTGCTTAACTTCGATTGCAGGTGTGAAAGCGATTCGAATTGGTCCGAATGAGTTGCATCTTACTGATGTTTCGCTGTACAAAACGATATACAACCAAACGACTCCCTATCTAAAGGAGCATGGCTTCTACGATGGATTCTTGACTCCTCACACCATTTTTGCGGAGACTGATCCCCAACTGCACAAGGAGCGGAGGAAGATGCTAAACCATATGTTTTCTAAGATGGGGGTCAGAAAACTGGAGCCTGTGATACAAAAGAAGATCTTGACTTTGGGCAAGAAGATCAAGGCTATTGCTTCTAGTGGACCTATCAACGTGTATGATGCTTACAGGTCACGTTCTTCTCGGAATTCAATTGCTCTCACAACTAAGTCACACTGAATAGATGCATGGCCATTGACATCATGATGAGATTTGCATTCGGCAACGAGTCAGACGCCATCAATGAGACGCCAGGAACTTTTAAAGCAACCTTCCTGACAGCATTTGATGCAGCCTCCCACACCCTGGCGGACACACAAGAAAACCCAGTAAAGCGATTTGTCGCAGGCAAAATTCCATTATCTCTGGTTGCAAAGGTTGACAAGAATATAAGAGTCATCTATAAGCTACAAGACGTAAGACATATCAAGTCGATGAGTTGTCAAATCCTGGTTAGAGAAGCTGACACGAGAAAGATAGACGGCTTACCAGGGCATAAGGCGTTACAAGAAGCTTACAGAGTCTCCATCACATCCGGTCATTTTTGATAACCTAAAATCCCTCACTGACAAAGCACAAGCCGCACAGTCGATTGAAATACTTCTCATTGGCTCTGACACATCGGCGTTCACGCTAAGTATGGGCTCGTTCCATATCTTATCCAGTCCCGAGTGTAAGGAAAAGCTCGTGGCGACTCTCAATGAGCATATTCCGAATCCGGATGCAATGCCATCGCTTGTCGAGCTCGAGAAGATTGATTATCTCGTAAGTGAGACCCAAATGGCTCTCATGACCGTGACTGACGATGGTCCAAATAGTGGGCCGTTGTGAAAGAAGTTCTGCGAATGGCTATCTCTGTTCATGGGCGGCTACCTCGGGTGGTACCTAAGGAAGCTCCGCCATTGCTCGTTGATGGAAAGGTTATTCCACCAGGCGTAAGTTGATGCTGGGTCCGACTAGTGTCTGTTCGACTACATGCTGATATAATCAAGACGGTCATTGGAATGTCAGCATATACAATGCACACAAGCATTGAGTTGTGGGTCCGGACGTCCGCTCATTCCGTCCTGAACGCTGGATATCCCCAGATGGAACTAGGGATCCTAACAGGCTCGAGGAGTATTTGTGTACCTTCAGCAAGGGCGTACGTCAATGTATTGGACTCAAGTAAGTTCCGTGCCACAATGCCTTCCTGGCTTTTACTTCATGCGCGTGCTAATAATCCTATTAGTGTGGCGTATGCCGAAGTGACTATGGCACTCGCGTACTTTTTCCGGACATTCGACATGACATTGAGGACAACCAAGCCTGAGCTCAGGGGTCACTTCACC